CACATAATCAAAGAGACAGGCGTAAGTGTCTCTCTTGACCAGTATATGTAACCACTGCGTATGACCTTAGAGATCTTATTGGTATGTTATCTTCCATCAGCCATAGGCAATCTGAGTCACAAGCAAAAATACTAAATAAATCATCATGATTTCGCTTTCAGATAAAGGCAGTCTGGAGGAAAATTACTGTAAGTAAGTTTTCCCTTGACTGCATACCATATATCAAAGCAAAACCTGTAACAGAAACACTGAACAGGATTGTACTTCTCTGCACAGAGACCTACAAATGTGACCTGACAACTTGTAGAAACAACATCAGGGTGTCCAATGAAGCATGATCGGACAAGGACTTGCCAGAGGACAACGAGTGTGATGAAGAGACTGACATGGACAATAATGTGTAATATATGTACGTCTAGCAGGACAACACATTAAGAATTTCAAAGTATACATTCATGAACATTATTTTTTTTAAAGCATAACTCCACATTCTAACAAGCGCAGCAAATACTTAGAAGTTTTTCATTTGTTATAATTATCATTACGTATACATTACAAAATACAGTCTCATATTTTGTAACTGACATAGCTGCTTTCCTACAGAATAGTTGTTTTCCTACAGAATGGAGCTTAAACCGGACCTTTAATTTTTAATAAGGTATATAAAATTAATTTTCTCCCCGATTTATGAAAATTATTTGTGCTTCAAGACAGTGGAAGGAAGGAAATTTTAGAAACATACATCTCTTGATAGTTAAGGTGTCTCAATGCTTCCTTCCATCAAAACACCCCCACATAAGTATCTTGCAGATATATTAATTATACATGTACATCAGTATATTAATAGTAGTAGTACATTGTTATGTCTCTGCATTCATATATTATGATTAATAGTAGTTTATTAGTAGTATATAAGTAGTACATGTGCAGTAATAGAGCTACATTACGGGAGAAATAATATGTTAAAATTCCACTCAAAATCTTAGCAGAAACAGCTTAAAACCGGTAATCCTCTG